TGTTATAGAACTTTGGTCCTGTGCTGGGTATTTTAAAGTGCTTTATAAATAAAGATGGTTTGGATTGGATAAAATTAAATACATCTTGTTCTCTTAGACTTTATTATTGTGATCCAGTGGAACTCTTTTCCTGCTCCCTGTTATGGATCTCTGTGACTACAATAAAATTCCCTCCATCCATCACTGAATTGCACTGAAGTAAAATGTCATCCTAAACACTGCAGTACACCAAAGGACACCACTAATAAACACTGATTATACTCTGTTCTTCTTGCAGCAACAATTTTTTCTGCAGGTAAAAATTTCCCATGTCACCCACAGCTGCAACTGAGCAGTAAGAATGTATTTGTCTCTATTCAAATGATGATTCAGTGAATTTGAATTATCCTGCAGCAGGAGAATGACCCCAAGCATACAGTCAAAGTCATTAAGAACTATCTTCAGTGTAGAGAAGAACAAGAAGTACTGGAAGTGATAGTACAGCCCACCACAGAACCCTGAACATCATCGAGTGTGTCTGGGTTTACATGAAGAGAGAGAAGGATGTGAGGAAGCTGGTAGGAACAACCTACCTTCAAAAACTGTGTGCAAGTGCACCTAGAAGAATTGATGCTGTTTTGAAGGCAAAAGGTGTTTACACCACTTATTGATTTATCTTTTGTTCATTCACTGCATTTTGTTGATTGATGAAAATATGGTGACTTTCAGCTCGCAGGGCTCAAATAAGAGAACCAATCAGTCATATTTGTTGGTTATTGTTACGCCCCAGTCTAGGGGTACAGAAACATAACATAAGGGTTGGAAAGAAGTGACCCCGCCCTGGTTCCAAAAACCATAGTCAGAAGCCAATCTTTGAAGTGAGCAGTGGTTCATTTGTGTCTACACTGAAAAACTTTACTCTGGGATGAACAAAGTCCGAAATAACAACCCCCCCCCCCCAAAAAAGCAACAAAAAACCCCCCAAAAAACAAGCTAAGTCAGGAAAGGAGGTGCTATCTAAACCCTACGTGAAACATAAACCAAACAAAGGACACATGCTACACCTAACTCCCTAACTGAAATAAACAGGAGAATATTAAGGCAGCTCTCCTCTTCTGCTTCTATGCTTATTTACAGTTTACTATTTACAAGTGAAAATGTGTCTACATACTATGTCCAAAGCTCTGTAGGTCTTAAGGATCACACACACGAATGTCACAAAGTTTGGAGGCCAAGGATGGGTCTGCTGCTGCTGTCACCTGCTGTCGCCAACAACTGCTGGTGAGGGATGTTTTAAAAACAGCCACATGATGAGGGGACCAATAACCCACCGCCAGCTCTCCTATCAGGAAGGACCTGTAGATACTTAAAGACATAGCACAGAAACAAACTCTACACGGCCAGGGCCGTAACAGCTATTGCCAATAACCTTCAACTATTAAAATACATTTTGCTAAAGTGACTTTAATGTCCCCTGTATTAGATCAAAATAAGAGAAAACAGATAACCACTGTTGTGATACCCTTTATCTCTCACCTGGGTTTGTTGGTTTTGTCAAGTCAATTAATACAAAGAAGGACTGGCTTTGTTGAGCTGCCTCAGTTAAATCACTAACACGGGTACACACTTAGCCTGTATTTTTGTAGGAACATTACATGCTGGCAACTTAAGCTCACCATCTGTAAACTTAACATGTTGAAGCTCAAGATTAAAGAAAACAAACTGAAGCAAAATTAAGAGAAACTCTATATTTGTTTCTTTATCAGTACCTGTGAGAAGACTGTTCATACTGTGTTGTTCTCTCTGCAAAGGTTTCTATCAGTTAATCTCAGAGAGACAAAGTAAACATTTACCGTCAGGTCCCAAGCTACTGCTAAAGATACTGTTACTGTGCCACGTGCATATCTTTGGAAATAATGAATTAGGTGGGAAAATCTGACAATTAAAATCAGTTAATTAACTAAAAGATAGAAAACAAGTAGAAAACCAAATTGAAAGGAAATATGTGTCGGTGTGTCTCCTCCTGTGATAAAGCTCCATATGTACCACTGAAAACAGTTAAATTAGTTTGAATCAGAAATCAGGGCTCAAACTACTTGTTCTGAGACCATTTCTTCATTTTTCACACCAAACTGTTTGTAGCTGTCGCATTGAAATGTAATTATTATGTGATTGCAATGTTCAACATTTGGTGTTTAATCTGGATTCATGTTGTGTTGTCGCCACCTACTGGTGGGCCTGAGTGTGACGCTTTGTGGTGTGCGTGCTTTGGGGTGATGCTCAATTAAGCGCACATGTCACCAGAGACTGAAGGCTCGAGCCAGAAAGAGAATGCTAGCCTGTGTAAAGGGTGGAAATATAGAAGATATGGACTACAATTGCTCATGAATGTTCAGTAGAAAGGCGCACACGGTATGTTGGTGCATTTACTTTGTGTGTATGTTTTATTTGAGTTGTAATTTTTGTTCTGCTGATGTAATATCCGTGTTTTTCATTGATCATTTCACCATAGTTTTTCACGGTGTTTGCTGGTGAAAAGAAGATTAAAATACTGGCTGAACATCAGTTGGAGCATGGCCCTTTATTCTACTTCGAACATGAAAAACCTTCAGGAGCAGTTACACTGTTTAATGAGACAAACGTTACAGAGTTCATCAAATATAACTAACGCTTTAACATTATCAGGATTTCATAATACAAACTTCAAATCAACAGGAAAACAGCTGCAGAACATGTGGATCAAAATGAATTCATTAAAAAACAACATGTGGACTTCAAGGATAAAGTAAATACACTAAAGTGAAAGGAGGAGCCAAAATTTGAAGGAATTTGAATTAAGTAAAAGTAGTCACCTGTGATCTTTAAATTGGTCCTGATGTGTGCTGCTGTTTTTAACTTTCAACATTTCTTTGCTGCCACTGTGAATACGAATGTGGTCTTTGCCTAATTAAATAAAGGTTACACTGACTCACTGCTTCATCTTCTGGTACAAACTGGCATTACATGGAAGTACAGCCCAAAACCAGTTCAGCTTGAGTTTCTTTTTTCTGGACATAAAGTCACAGCAGGTGTTGTTTCAAAGCTGGTGGACAGATTTAGTTCATTTTGGAGGTTTTAAGAGCAACTGCTGTGAAAATATTTGTAGTTTTGGGAGAAAATGATTTAAGAGAAGATTTTACCTCAGCAAAAGATTAAATATGAAGAAGGATTGAAATTTAACTTAGGTAACACATAAAATGAATACAACTACTAAACACTACTGTGTCCTAAGGAAACAAAGACTAAAATGTAACAGGGATAACATTTTAGAGAATTAAAATCCCTCAAAGGAAAAATAATAAACTTGATATGCATATCTATACATGCAGCTTCCTAAATGTAACATTCAGGATTATTCACTGCAGCTCCAGAAATCAGAGCTACCTCATCAGATCCAAGTGTGACATCAGCTGACACTCTTTACAGGAGATTCCATCTGAACTCTGTGGAGCCTGATCTCAAGGTTTTTAAGTCTGACCTTGAAACCAGAAGAGGATCTTTCTCTCTCTTCAGATTCATTGTGATTCAGTGTTAAATCCACTGTGAATGATTTGGTGTCTTTTTAAGTTTCCAGCCTTGGTAAAAGCCTTTCCACACAACTCACAGCTATAAGGTTTAAATCCACTGTGGATGATTTGGTGTGTTCTTAAGGTTTGTGCCAGGTAAAAGACTTTCCACACAAGTCACAGCTGTAAGGTTTAACTCCACTGTGGATGAGTTGGTGTGTTTTTAAGATTTAGCCTGGGTAAAAGACTTTCCACACAAGTCACAGCTGTAAGGTTTAACTCCACTGTGGATGAGTTGGTGTCTTTTTAAGTCTCCAGCCTGGGTAAAAGACTTTCCACACAAGTCACAACTGTACGCTTTAACTCCACTGTGGATGAGTTGGTGAGTTTTTAAGCCCCCAGCCTTGGTAAAAGACTTTCCACAAAACTCACAGCTGTAAGGTTTAAATCCACTGTGGATGAGTTGGTGAGTTTTTAAGCCCCAGCCCTGGTAAAAGACTTTCCACACAACTCACAGCTGTAAGGTTTAACTCCACTGTGGATGAGTTGGTGAGTTTTAAGTTCCAGCCAGGGTAAAAGACTTTCCACACAAACTCACAGCTGTAAGGTTTAACTCCACTGTGGATGAGTTGGTGTGTTTTTAAGGTTTGAGCCAGGGTAAATTCCTTCCCACACTCATCACAGCTGTAGGTTTTCTCTCCCTTTCTTCTGTGAGGTTTGTCAGCCTCCTGAGAGCGCTGACTTCTTGCTCCATGTTGGTCCTGCAGTGACAGAGATACAAACAGAGGCAGTGAGTGAAATGCAGTCGTGGAACAAACTGAAATTGGTGGAATCAGACATGTAAAAAAAAAACCACATTGTTGGTGTGTTACCACCACCTTCTGGTGATAGTATCACATTACAATGATGTCCTACAATGAGAGTTGTACAAAATGACAATATTGAAGAAATATTGATCATCAAAGAATCTATACTTCAGAAAAAAATTTGAGTTCAACTGATGATATTGTTGTTTCAATGTGTGTAGAGAAAATATGATCTTTGTATTTTCTTGTAACTTCTGTGGTTTTTGGTTGTGAATGTAGATTCTGTATATATGGAGGAGCCCAGGATGGAAAAGATAAAGCTGCTGTTAACAGGTTTTTAAAAACCGACCAGCTGTACACACAGTTTCAATAACAGTGTAACTGTGATGTTTTTCTCACCTTTTGTGTTGAAGTCATTGTTTCCTCTGTAGTGGCTGAGCTGAGTCCAAATGGCTGAAATTGTTCCTCTGCTGCACCACCAGACTCTTCTCCTCCTGTTACTCAGCTGGGACACAAAAAGTATATATTTGTATTTTATCCCTGACAAAAAGAAGCAGAGCAAATAAACATGACTAAACTCCTCAGTGACAACAATACCTATGAAGCTTCAAGGTGAAACCCCAGAAGCAACTACAAAAAGAAAGTCATCAGTTGCCTACAAGAACTTGAAAGGGAAAAACCCCTCCCCCTGCACATCACCACCTTTACCCAGGGGATGCTACACCCTGTATATATGGACTTCCATAGATCCACAAAGACGGAGTCCCGATCAGTCTCAATGGTAGCAGTATAAACTCAGCCACCTACAACATTTCAAGCACCTCATTACCATCCTAGCGCCCCTAGGATGGTAATGGTTGAAATGTAATGAGGTTTTTAGAAAACATTTCGAAACTCACTTTGTTAATGTGGAATTCTAAAATTATTTTACAAATGGAGAATTTATTTATCAAAATTATCAAATATTATTTGATTTACTCATGAAAGTGGCCACTTTCATGAGTAAATCATAAGTTTTTACTATTTCTTTTCCATATGGGTTGTATCTGCTTGACGCATGAGGGGGCATCATAAATAATACCGTGATGCTATAAAAACAACTGCTTGTGTATTATTGGGCGGAGATTGACGATGAGTGTGTGACAGTGTTCATCCCCCCACACGTGTGTTTATTAAAATCATCGTTTGACCCAACTAGAGCAGGGCGATATGGCCAAAAATATTTATCACGATATATATTTGAAAATTTGCGATAACGATATAACTGACGATATAATTGATGCGAGACAAAATACAACTCCACAACATTACTAGTGCAAAAAGACAACCTTCCATTTATTTTCACTTAAACAAGAAGCTGGTTTTTATGTACATTAAAGCTTTATAAAAATGTAACAGTGCAAATGCAAATTCCTTGCTGAAAGTTTAACCAAAAGGCATTTCCAGTAGAAATGGGCTGACATATCCTGAGCATAACCATGTATAATATCCACTGAAGTTAAAAAGAGGTGCTTTGCAACATTAAACTGCAGTGTGCAGTACGTATTTTTCGGACCATAAGGTGCACGGGATTATAAGGCACATTAAGCGAAACAAAGCAGTCAGATAAATCAAACTTTATTAAACTCATTCTTCTTGCTTCCTCCACTTCTGTACCATTGATTCATTAATGTTGAATTCTCTGGCAGCTGCTCTATTCCCATGTTGTTGCAGTATATTAATGACTAACCTCGTATTGTGGATGGATTATCTCAGTTGTTCTCCTGACTGAAGTTTGGTCCGTTTACAGCATCCTGCCATGCGATTGCATTTGTCTCTAACCACGAGGAACCTTCACGTTAACTTTTATAAGTGGAAAAGTGTTAGTGTTCGTCCTCCAGCTTCACTGTTTATGTTATGCTAACATAGCTGTGTCGCTAGCGATCACGTAGCACATCATTATATACCAGCTAGCCCAACTTCAGTAACCCTACAAACGTCACTGCTGTTTAGTTTCCTGTCTTCATTTATGTTGGAAGTGATAGCAGAGCTGTACGTTTGAATTTTTTCAGAAATCTCTCAGTCAGAACATGCTATATCATGCTTAGGTAACTAGCGAAACTAGCGAGCTAACTTCCGCTAGCTTCCTGCTAACTTCTAACTCCGTTAAATGTAATAAATTTTGTTTTCATGGATGCCTGGAAGTTAAACTTCATAGTTACACCTGGTAAAGCAGCAATGCTGATCGTTTTATTAAAGATGAAAGAATTTAGACAGTTTTTAACTCTCAGTGATGCTGCAGTGTTCGTTTGACCTGAAGCATACAGAGTTTAGGACCCAGATTTAAGAGCATCTTAGTCCGACAAATACGACAATAACGACGGCCGCTTGCATGTTCTGCAAAAAAATGTGCTTTGTCGTGTATCTGACGGACAAACACCAAACCAGTTCCACATCACTGAAGTTGCACCATTTTTACAAACCAATTCTGGTTCATCTGTTTCACTCAACAATCGGCCATGTGCGTATGAAAACAAAGGCACTGCGCATGCGCGTTTTACTCCCATTCTATCGCGATATTTCATTTTCCTATCGTTGCCTAACATTATACCGGTATTACCGTGAACGGTATAATATGGCCCAGCCCTAGTCCCAACCCTCCTGGACAAGTGTTGTGATTTTGAATCCCTCCTGTATTCCTCCTCAATATTTGAACGCTTAACAGTGTCCACGTCACACAGCTCCATGGATTTTGGATTATCTTCTCTGCTCAAGGGGAGGAGGTGGAGAAAGAATCTATTCGGGTCCAGCTATGTCGGATTATTGCTGCCAGCTTGTTTTTTGTGGAGCGCTTATCGGAGCAGCACAATGACTTTTTTTGGCTACAACTGGAGGAGTTTCCCATTCACTGCCAAAGCAGCAAGTCCCTCAGCATGCAGACTGAATCACTCCAGCCCCTGTGTGACGCAGCTCTCCCTACACCAGATACAGGAATTAAAGTTGGCGTGTTGAGCCTCCCGCCTGTCTCCAGGTCCATGTCGATGCAGCAGCAGACAAGTGCTGCATTTTCCTGGACACAACCAGTGGCTGCTTCTAGCACCACATTCACCTCAGCCATGGCAGCGCCAGCTTCCACAACCGTGGCTTCCAGGAGGAGGCGGTGTCCACGTCATCACCGCGGCTTACAGCAGCATGAGGTGGGTGACTGTGTTCCGCGTGTTTTTTCTAAGGAGGA